CGCACCGCCAGTTTAGGGCCTCCCCATGCAGTTCGGCCTGCGAGCATCCGTTTGACCATACTTCACCACGCTAGTCAGGTGGGAGGCGTGCAGAAAAAAAAACCCCAATGGATTTTGCTGCATCGCCCCTTGCTGTCCACGGCGTCTACTGTGCATAGCGGCCACACAACCCTCGCACTATGCATGCTCAACTCCTGCTTTGTTTTCCGAGATCTGATGATATTGGGTGATTTGCTGCACGTTTCTACGTATGTTTTATTTTTTATTATGGCTTGTTGGCATATTTCGACACACTTTGTATATCCATATAAATGTGGCGCATGAACAACCCAATTTTTTGGTTACAGACATTACTTACTCATTTGGTATCGCTTTATAAGTCGAAAGGTAAAAGTGGAATAAGGCAAAGTTCAGTGGTGTTCATGTAACAATTCTCTTTTAAGCATTAATAACAGTAATATTTCGTAATTTAGAAGTTTCTAATCCAGTGTGTCTGTGTATACATGAGTGGAGTGCCAAGTGGCTAAAATGTAGCAAGTTGCCACAGTGGGTAGCACAGGTGGTGCATCTGTCAGTCATCCCAGTTAACTCAAAACACCTGTGTCTGTCCCGTGACCTTCTGTCAGCGAGCCTTCCACACTTCATGTGGCCTCAAAGTGCACCTAGCCTGGAACACGCTGTGATGACGTCACCACCACTTAGGTGCAAATTGCAGCTGTTGTTGTTGGGAAGTGATAGCTTAGTGGTCAGCACCCTGCGCTACGAATCCGGTGACCTGAGTTTTATTCACCTGCATAGCCAACATCGGTGATGAGTATCCGAACCAGTCCTGGTCCTCCCCTAGGGCAACTCAGCCTTAAACGAGTACCTGATGTAGTGTAAACATCAGCACTGGGAAGACAAAGGTCGCCCGGCGTGGTCGTGACCATCCACCCCCTCGTGTGCTGTGCCACCTTAATAGGCGCTCGTTAAAAGCACTTTCCCCAAAAGTCTGTTAAAATCAAGTTGGGGATCTTTGTCTATTTCTAATATAGATGGCTCCACTGTACATATGTGTCGTGTGTGCAGACGTGTACAATATATACATACATTATTTTACATCCTTTGTAAATCCACTGCTGGAAGAACACCTTCCAACGATGTGTCGATAGTTAACCAACCTTGCCAGTACGAACTGGTGAAGGCTGGTGGTGTGCCCAACGCAGGTTCGTCTGTCACTCGCCACTGAAGTTGGCCGTGGCTGGGAATCAAACTCAGGTCGCGGGGTTCATAGCCCATGGCACTCACCGCATTTTTTGTACGTAGCCTGTTTAGCAAAGCAAGAAGTTAGTTTGAGGTCATTGGAGATCAGTTGTATCTGCGGCTTTTTACTTTCACAGTGACACGGTGATCCGTTAGCTGTCAAACCAGTCACAGGTGTGACGGGGACTGTGCGTCATCTGGGTGTTTCCTTTGTGTCTGACAACCAACCATTCCAACGATGGATTCCTGACATGAATGAACTAGATGTGAAATAAATCCCAGATTGTTCGGCTCTTTACACCTGGGGCATATAACATTCTGCTCTCGTTTTGTTGCTTGTTAATATCCCCACACATTTACTTGTCAACAGCAACTGTCACGGTTGAATTTCAATTCATTGTACATGCTGGGCAAACAGCTCGTTGAGGCAAGCGTATGGTCGAATAATGATTTTAAACTGACAGCAAGTATACAAGGTACGTTTTCAAAGCTGACATCGATGTCTGTCTGCTCAAACGGGCAATGGGTGCTGCTCAAGTTAAATGTTTCCGCGTGCAATAAAATGAATACAGGAGAACTCCTCTTATACGTTACCTTATTACTCGCAAATCCTATTATCTGTGAGAGCTGAAGAGTCCGCAAGAACAACCGCTGTCAGCAACCCTGTGCTTCCAATGATCTGAAATGACCCCTCATGTTCCCCAATAGTGCATTGTGAAATAGCTTCCTATTATCCGTGACTAACCCCACCCCACGGATAACCTGCGGATAATAGGATCTGCGATATTGGGCCCACCACATAACCATTGTGAGAGGAGTAAATAGGGCACTCAACCTTCGTTAAAGATTACATGACAATTCCAAAAAGGTAATATTGCATTGGGGAACGTATCAAGTGTCATTTGCTACTGTGTGGAATCACAAGCGTGTAAATATTTCCTTGCAATGCTTCTATACAAAGCAATGACAAATTGCGCGGTGCATTCTGTGAGCAGAAGGCTTTCTACTTGAGTAATTTACTATCTTTATGCTCACGCTCGCACAATGGGGAGCTTCTTGTAAATATCTACGTATAAAGTTACAGATGACAAAAAAATAGATCCTAGACAGCACGAGCTATGAGTACCATACAATACATAATCTTCCTTCCTCTGCTCATTCCACTGCTGGATGAAGGCCTTCCAACGTGAGGGTGGTCTGACCATATTTGACCACACTGGTTAGTAGGGGCTGCCGAAGGGTTTTTTCTAGGATCAGTTGAGATAACACTCGCGCCTGCTGTTAGCCACGGGTCACGAGGTTCATAGCGCAGCCTGATAACCACTGCACCACCACTCCACCCCAGCACTATTTAGGGTACAATAATGAAAATGCACTTTGAACCCTGCAACCTGAGGTCAGTTCCCAGTCATGGCTTATATCAGTAGTGAGTGACATCTGCACCAGTTCCGAGGCCCTCCCTGGTGAAGTATGATGAAACAAGCTCCCCAACTGCCCGTTGGGAGGCTTTCATCTATCAGTGCACTGAAAAAGAGGGCTGTAAAACATTACTGGCATTCAAAATGCATTTACGAATCATTACATTGCTTTTCTTGTAAATGGATACATAGTGACTGGCGTTTGGGATAAGCCAACTAAGCAAAGGCTTAGGACCCCAAACAGAAAACGGGCCCCTGAATTCATTAAACTAAATGGTTTAAGGAACTAAACAGGAGGATATCTCCACGAATCTGGCTGTGGCCTGATGAAGCTAGTTGTAATTACTGGCGAAGCCTCGTACTCAGATAGTAAATGTTGTGGATTTGCTCTCCAACACACCGGTGTGCTGTAGTAGGAACGAATTGGCATGTTCTAATTACGTGAGAAACCTTACTCGTTGGCTGTGTCGGGTGGTGGCGGGTTTAACGACACATTCATATGTTTACACGATCTAACCCAAAAAACGTATATTATGGATTGTATTGGTAGCGAAAGCCTACGTGTTCAACTAAATGGGTGTATCAGATATTGGCTAACAAGTAAATCATAATTAACATAACACATTAATAATCATAACCGCCAATTCATATCTCATATCTACCTTGTCCGCTTCTCTCACCCAACTGCCCCTCTATTTGTGTCTACATTTCTTACATCATCACTACTGTACATCCAGATCTCGCGTATGCATCTCTCATTTCACTGCATTTGAGTCCCATCTGCGTCTCCCTTCTCACACGCCACTGCACCTCTATTTGTGTCTACAGTTCTCTTATCTCACCGCATCTACGTCTGCCGTCCGTCTCATCCCCTGTCGTCTCACCTCGGATTTTAGCAATTGAAAGTGTGGCAACCCCGAAAGAGAATTCCTCCTTGGGGTGCCCCAAGGGATGGGCTGGCACCACCACTGCGAAGGGCATAACCAGAAAGCTTCTGCGATTGGCACATTCTCTGATGCCAAACCACACACCAGCATGACTTCCCTCAATAATAATGTTTTCTGAAGTATCGAGCGCGGCGTCCATCTCCCAATAGACGATCGCGAATGCTCTCCTCGTAACGAGCTGTGATTAATGTCCCAAGTTGAAGAATTCCTGCCCACACAGCGCATCATTCCACACATCCCTCCCCAATCCTTCCCCCGCTGAGCTCTGAGTGGCTTTTATGCCGGTCATTATGTTTCCCCGTGCCCAGACAGGGGTCCTTGAGCAGAGCTGCACAAAGGCGTTCCATTAGATGATTGATTTAATGATCACGTTTCTCCACGCTGCTTTGTGCGTGCGCGAAAAGCCCACCGTGAAAGTGGGATGGGCTGAATTGTCGTGGGGATTGAACACATTTTTTTTACCTCTTTGGATTTCCGTAAATTCATTGGAAGGTGATTATTTAAATAGAATAATTAAAGATTGGACTTGCAATGGGAGTTTATTGATACTCAAACTGTTTTTATTCACAATACAGTAGAGTTATTTGACCAGAATGATTGCTGTGCAAATGCTGCACACGTGTGTAAGGTAACGCTTCACCTGGCAGAAACTCGAGGAATCCTCAAGATTTTGGGGTAACAAGTTCGTTCAGGAATGGGAATTCGTTTTGTTTATTTGTAGTCTCATGCGTCTTGTTTAGATTGTTTTATCTTTATTCTCGTTTGTACAGTGTTGTCAACCCCACTAGACTATGTGTAACATCATGATTTGCATGTGGCGTTAATCATGCCCATACATGCACAGTTAAATCCTTGCATTTTGAGTTCGAAAAATGTATTATAATCGATGAATCGTCAGATCGTCAAATGCCTTGTGTGATCATTTACCGCCACACGCCAATCTACTGCTGGTCGAAGGTCTCCCACCTGTCTCGTTGGTCGTAAGGGTACAGCTCCCCGGGGTGTTTGTTTGCTTGTTCCACGTGCTGGTCACCACAATGTCCGACGTGAGTGCTGCAAAATGCCGGGCGCTTCCGCAGGAACTGAATTCGGTAACCGAAGCGCCTCCTAGGACGTGGATGAAGACGTCGTACATTGCGCCAAAGAGCTTGCGGTATTACCTGAAAACACATCGGAGAGCTTTCTATACGGCGCATCTGGCATACTTGACCATGCTGGTTGTTGCTCGACGGTCAATAGGTGTGGGGGTGACAGGGTTATCCAGGACATAACAGCACTGCAACGTGCATCGCGACAATTACGTGTGAGAACGTTTGCCAGTTACAGACAAGCTCGTGAACACGGGAGCGCGATGTTCATCTAGAGACGTACATCACTGCGGTTGTTTCTGCAGGTGTGTGGAGAGCAGGGGAGGAGCGCCGTGTTCCTGCCAGAGTTCTCTCTGAGCCGTAAGGAGCCCCTGGTGGACGAGAGTGTCGGGGAACCGCTCCTCACCTACAGGAACGGGGGGGAGCAGGTAAGGTCGCACCAGGTACACCGCGGTGTGGATTTACAGCGCGTATAAACCGCGACCGCATCTCAAGACGCTGTTCAGAAGGAGTGGGCATGTTTTGTGCATAGTGGCAGCGCTGGATTAAGTTTGATGAGGGCTTGGGGATGTTGTCGATTTAGAGGGGGGGGGGTTCTTTTTGTACATTCGGTTCTTTCCAGCACCGCCCATCCCTAGTGCCAATCACTCCGTTCTTACTTGCCTTAGTCTTTTTACAGTTATAGTTTTTTAATGTGATTGTAAAGCTAATTAAAAGTATAAAAAAAACGCTAAGAAAAACAATTTTCATTTTGTCACCATATTTATTTCGCCACCATTATACCATGGCTTAAATGACTAAATTCTATTTTGGCTGTATAATAGTGCTTCGTTATTGTGTTTCAATCATTACAAAACAGGATATGTACATATATATACAATTTGAGGTTCTTTAAATATCCAAGGCCCTGGGCCGTGGTCCCTAAAGCCCCTTGCGTTAATTCAGCCCTTGGAGAGAGTGGGTCATAGGTAGAGGAGGCAAGGAAGGCGTTCAGCTTGAGCTTGAACAGGGGGCAGACCTGTGGGACAGTAGAGGAGCAGAAGCGACCTCTTCATGGGTGGGGGGGGGGGCTTCGACGGAAAGCCTTGTTTGCTGGAGGGCAGAGTGAGTAGAGGGGAGTCGAGTGATATGAGGAGGGAGAGTTAGGCAGCGAGCGAATGCACGGGGGATCTTGAAGACGATGGGTGTGACCTTGAGGTTGATCTGGGATTGGAATGGGGGGCCCGCGGAGCGATCGGAGTGCGTGTACGTGGCCAGTCTCTGGTTCACGCACGCAGTCCAAATGAATTCTTGCCTGTGTCCATTCATGTCAGCTCTGCTATATAATCGGACGTGTAGACTCGGGCTATTTTGTTCACAGCGCTGTGTTGTTCCACTTTGTGCAGTCGCAATGCAGAACTTGGAACCCCTTCTGCTCTCTCTTGTGCGCCGAGACACAGCCCCCTCTATTTATAGGGGAGCTGTGCATTCTCGAGGAAAACTGCCCCAAGGAAAATGTTGAATACGCTACTCTTAATCATGGTGACTTGCTAGCCTAAGTCCCTGTACACGGATTCTTTTAAGTGCCTAAATGTTAACGTTTACAGGTTTTTGCTGCAAAGATACTCACCGCCATACTTGTACTTCCGATTTATCTGTTTACTAAAACGCTGAGAATCTATTTTCTCATACCGACGCATCATTATGTTCAACTAGAAATTTCCACCGCTCAACTTCGACAAAACGTGTACGGAGCCGACGTGCTTATTTGTGCATCACACAGCCTCGAATTTTGCTGTTTCTTGGCAGCTCTTGAAAAATCACTGGGCGGTGACAGCCTGTGTTTTTCTCTCCCTGTTGATGTTGGCTGTGCGATTCAAGGCCTCTGTGTGCTCATCTAGACATGCAAATGAAGCCTTCTCATGGTTAATTAGAAATCTGTCTCATCCAGAGGTTCCATAGAGTTGTTACATTCTACACTTTGGCTTTGTTATGGGCTTTTGGTAATCGCAACTCTGAAAGTGCCATATTTTTCTATCAGGATGAACCGTACGGCGCGCAGCAAAAGCAATTAAATATAACCGATTGCAAATGTGATATATCGTATTGTTTGTAGCTGTTTATCATCATGACCAGCTATGGTCAAACCACTGCTGAATTGAAGGCCTCTCCAAGCTGCCACCACCTCCTATGATCCTGAGATGTCATTATTGAACCTGTTAAATATGGAAAATAATAAGTCATCATCATAATATAAAATTGCACTGTCTGCCTTTGAATTCAATAACATATCAATAACATATCAATGGAATGTGGCCATGTGGCTGAGGGGTCAGGGCACTGAGCTGCCACTGCTGAGTTTGTTGGTTTGAATCCAGGCAATTACCCATGATTAAAACGAGTTCACAAGTCTTACAAGTTGACAGTCTCAGCCTGGCCAACCAACAATCGTCCAAAAACAACCCATCATACTTTGCTTGGTGTTTAACCTAATTTGGCAAATTCTAGCTATGAGAAAAAAATTGGTGTTATATTGACACGCAAAGAACACACGTTTCAGAACGCATAAAATATGTGCCCCGAGCGTGGGTGGGACCGTGTGCAGGACGAGGGGAGAGTCAGTTACAGAGACAGGGATTGGCATAGTCACCGTGAGAGCGGCGACCGAGGGGAAGACCTAATACCAGACGTTGGAATACTTTAAGGGCAGATTTTGGAAGGGCGCATGGTGCCCGCGCGGCAGCTGCGGGATCTGGCAGAGGGTGGGAGAGCGTTGGCAATGAGGGATGGTGGCATCAGCGGCCTTGCCCACTGTGACCTCTTGACGTTGAGCTCGTGCGGATAAATTAGGTCTTCAGAGGTAGTTCTGCGACATTCATTTCCCATGGCTGTCCTCCCGTAATGAAGAGGTGCCCTGCTAGCTTTAAGATTTCCAAATGGATCTTTATTCTGCTCATTCTGTAATGTCAGCAGCACAATTGCAATATATACATCTGAAAAATAACAAATCAATGTTATTCATACAACTATATTGCTTTGTTTCTGTTATCAATCTAGATTTTATTTTTACAAAAGCATAATGCTTGACAGATTTGGGTTCTTTAACAGTATACGCTTAAAATGGAGCGGGAGCCAAAGAAAACTGGCACTTTTAAATTTTTCATGAATTCTTGGCTGACTACCAAATAATGTAAAATACATTATATAACAACTTGCAGCCCTTTAGCAATCCACTGCTGCATTAAGGGCTCTGCATGCCTTTCAGTTATGGACCACATGGAAAACCATTGTAAAGTCGTCAGCGTAGTGAGGCGTTATCTCATTCACTTAGTACGCAGGAGGTCGTGGGTTCAATCCCGATCCTGACGCCTCTATATTTGAGTTTGCATGATCTCCCCGTGGTGTGTTTTTTTTCTCTGGGTCCTCCAGTTTTTCATTCCACATTTAGAAACGTGCGCTTGGAGTATTTGGCTTCAATACATTTCCATGTGATAAGCCACTTGGTTGAACATTGCACCATACCGCTCCCTTCGCACATGATGTATAAAATCGATGATGCGTTTCATACACAGCGCTACTGAATAAATGACAACAATAGTGCAATCAGAATGCTGCGCGACCAGAAAAAAAAATCCATATTATACAAACAAATAAACTCTTTTTACAAATATAAAAAATAACCACCTTTATTTTGTGCCAACAAAACAAGAAAAGAACGGCGGAAAATGCACAAATCTGCATCCTGAAACTCGCACGCAGCAGAATATGAACCTGTGCGGTTTCTAAGTCAAAGGTGGCAAAATGGCGAAAGGCCCCCTGTGAGCGATGCTGCGTTTGGGCCTCTCGGAGCTGCGGGTCTCGTGGTGCCACGCGAAGCCGATTGCTGAAAGGCATTTGTACTGACGAATGATTGACACAGCTTTGATTGAATTGGAAATCCGCTGAGAAATTTTTCGATACGTGAATTACGATGGGCACATTTTTTTCGTTTACGCATTTTGAAAAGGCAGCTGGCTCCCCATGCGTCGTTTCGGCAGACGTTGACACTTTTACCTTAGCAGAATGATCTGTTTACTTTCGTTGTGCACAATAGTATGCATTGCTGTGTATTTGTGTATCTTGCTGACGCACGTGCCAAAGATGAAGAAAAAAACTGGTTTTTCCCGTGTTCTTGAATGCTTTTACACTACGCGTCAAACATTATGTTGGCAGTCTCCAAACTGGCGGGGGTGCGGGGGGGTTAACTGATCTACAAGGCAGAAATTTTGAATTTGTAAATACACACACAGTGTATTAATGTGTCAAATTAGGACGTGCCGAGGAAATCCGCAGTGTTCTTTGTAATGCTGACCATCTGTGGCAAAAGAGCTTTGTAGCTCATCAGATTTCCCCAGGATAAATAAAGATTCTGATTCTGAAGTCGCTCGTTCAGTTGTCCAAACCAGTTCTAAAGAAGGTCTATGCTCTCGTCCAAAGTGGGCCACTTATTTGTGATCTGTTTTTCTTGGCCGTAATGAGCCGCGTGTGTGTGCATGTGCGGCCTTGGAATGTGAAGAAAGAGAGGATACATTTTTGTCTGGGCGTGCCGCAGTTTATTTTTATTGTTAGGCTCCTAAGGTTGTATAAATGATAGAATGGTGACTTGATTAGATAAGGGCCACATGTCACGCACTACAAAAATACCAGTGGGGATGCTGAGTGACGCTGTTTTTCGCGTAAAAAAATTCTGCCTTTGGAAGCAGTTTGCACACATTGTTTGTACATTGCTCTCAGTTCGCATGCTGGTCGTAATTTGCTTTAATGTTGGATTTCGTTTTTTTATTCATTACTTGCAGAGTTTTTTGCCCAAGCTAAAAAAAGTATTCGAAGATCAGAGACGCTGAGCAGATGTTTAATCTATTGCGCAAATCCATTCCGAACATTCGAAGTGTCGTGTAACGTTGAATTATTTTTCGCTTCACATAAAAACGTGGCGTGCGCATGCAGCTTTCATTTTCAGCCGAGTGTGACGCATGTTTAAGTAGTACTTTCTGTGGTGTCCTTTACAAGCTCAAAGCTGAACAACCTACAGAGGCTTTAGAATCTGATTCAGACAAACGGGTTGGCCCCCTCCACCTTCTATAGTCACTGACCCCACCAGCTTGGGTGAAAAATTTCAGACCTGTCCACAAAGAGATTCAATCGTACGAATTAAACAATGGCCTTCATGCAACCTGCACTTCTGGGCGGGTCGCATGAAAAAAAAACACCTTAAGTAGAATGTTCCCTTGGCTTGTTGCTTAAAGCTGTGTCGCTTAACAGTGTGTTATGCAACCTGTCACGGGGCATCTCTAGGTATTGCTACTTGTAGCGCTCGATGCAACGTGAGAAATCGGTGTGCCCTGCAAAGGCAAAGGTGCAGCTCTGCAATGTCTCGCTCACACCACTGCTGGCAGAAGGGCCCCCCACT